GCTGAGCTGAGCTGAGCTAAATTTTTAAATCGCTTAAAACGAATATTCGTAAATTAAAATACTTAATCAAACGTTAAAAAAAAAAAAACTTAGTCGAGTTGAGCCGTCAAGCCATTTGGCTCGACTCGGCTTATGAATAGTAAAAAAAAGTGACTGTTTTATTTATGTAGGACATATCTATAATATATTGAATATCACATCAAATGAGAAATTTTTTTTGAACGATTTTAATCATACTACAATTCAATTATTTCAATAATACCTTACTTTTTGTTTTTCAATATATAATAAATACTACAAAACCCTTGCTATGTACTCCTTCCGTCCCAATTATATATGCTGAGTTTCATTTTTCCCTTTTTCCAAATATATAGGCTTTTTTCCTAATGTAGAATATTTTGTTGTGTTCATTTACCAATATATCTTTATTAAATTTTCCTTGTCAATTTCTTTTGACAATGAGTAGAAGAATGAGAATGAAAAAAATAATGTGGCTCAAAGATGAGCTTAGAATGGATGATTATTCTTTTGTTTTTTGTGATAAAAAACTTAGCCATTGTTTGGAGCCCAAAATGGATTTATTGAAAATAATGTATTTTCTTATTATTGAAAAAAATAATGTATTTTCTTATTTTTAATCATACATACTCTAATAAAAAATATTAAACTTAAATTCAAAAAAATTTCTTATTCTTTAATCAGGTATCATCCAAAATTCACTATTTCAAAATACTTTTTTTTTTCCAAAAATTACTTTTAATGGAGCCCAAGCTTAAATTCCATTTTAAATGGAATGGATACCAGGACGGAAATCATGTTATCCGCTCACGCCTACATACCCGATTAGACGGGAATTCTCGTCTTGTTGGGACAAGACCCACAAGTATCAAATTTAATGATTTTTTTTTTGTTATCCCTACTTATTTTTGAAAAATGAGCTGAAAAGGGTAAAAAAGTTAATATTATTGCAAACCAGATACCTTTTTTTTTTTAATGCTAAGATAATATTTCCCATAATTAAATCAAATTAATTAATTGTGTAATTAAAACGTATTTTTAAGCCATCCAACTATAATTAACCTGATTGATTTGTCGAATGATTATCTCCAAAATTAAGTTAAATCAAATTAAAACCTTAAAAAATGGATAAATCGAAAATTTATCCCTATAAATGCTCCGAGGCATCAGGCATGTCACTATTTTCTCTGCGCCTAGCGGCCCTAGCCCAATAGTCCTATTTTGTTCTTGTCGACTTCTTATTTCCGCAAAATTTTCCATCTAATTTTTATCTGTATAGGGTTAGGATAAAAATTCACACACACACTCACACTGGGGCGGATCTAGGGCAGCCGCCCTAGCTAGATCCGTCGAGAAGAAATTTTTTTTGTTGAAAATAGATAAAAGATTTATATTATATATCTGATAAATCATTTTATTTACAATCATCCTTGTTAGNAAATTATTTTTGTTGAGAATAGATAAAAGATTTATATTATATATCAAATAATTCATTTTATTTACAATCATCCTTGTTAGGTCAGTTGGTTGATGTTTCCTCTATTAAACCAGAGGTCTCGGGTTCGGAATTTTCCAATGCCGATATGTTGTGTAATTTTTGTAAACATATTTTACCAAAAACAAGTGCAAAGTGGATTTACCATCATGGCATACATTAATTTGTCACACTTAATAAAACAAAATAATATATGTTCATTTTACCTGTTTTAATGCAAACAGAAATATTTTAATAGGTGATTTGTCCCTCTCCTTGATTATTTTTTTCTCTAATCAATTTATTTGAAAGTTTGGTCAATTAATGACGAATGAATTTGTAAAAAAAAATTGGCGTTAGTGTCATAAGGAGACTTTCAACAAAACTTATTTAATTAATAGAAAGTTCTTTTCTTCNTTTGATTGAAAAATAAATTAGAACATTTTCGAGATTATAATGATTTTTTCATCCGAAATGAAAGTTGGTACATAGTTCTAGTTCTAGTGATGTATTTAGTTCTTCTAATTCTAATCCATACGATTTTTTGACTATCATTTAATTAAAGATTAATAAACAACGTCACTATTACGGACGTTAACCGTTGACCGTAAACGTTCAATGTTCGCCGTCCGCTCTTGCTGAACTCGAGCTTTGGATTCGCCCCCGCACACACACCCCCTTGTTATTAAAGTGCATGGATTATCCGATTGCAGAGTTGGTGTTTTATCAAAAGAAAGGAAATAAAGTGTTTCAATATCAAAAGCTGACCTTTTGTAAGGCAATTGTTCGTATTTTTGCTGTCGATTGTCGTTTTCTGGGTTTAAATTTCATCCTGATTTGGGGTCATTTTTGTTAGTTCTTTTACATTTAGAAGAGTAATTTTTCTAGGATTGTATTTTGGGCATTTGAAG